AAAAAAAAAAACCCTACGATGAGTTTGAATGTAAGAACTTTACAAGTTAACAAAACAAACTCTAAATTAACTTAGTGTTTGGTGTTGCTTACCAAACATGCCCTTAAATATAATATTTTACTAGTTTTGGACTTAATTGGGTCGAGTCTTTAGTGGGCTTGTACTGTATTTTGAAATACATGCATTGATTTCTACAAGTGGCCCAATTAGCCAAATTGAGTAAATGTGTGTTATATTTCCATTAGGAAAATTTAATCATTCTGCACGCTATTTCATTTAAATTCAAATGAAAAAAAAAAAAATGTTCAATAAACACTTAGTTCACAATTCACAACTGGCAAGTGGGATTCTCTCTGTGCTGTTTCTAAGTGGATCTTTTGTCACACATTTACATGGATTTACACTCACATCCGTCTATTTGTATGCAAAAATTTATGACCAAAAAACATATTTGCAGGCACGGCAATAAAACCGGTAGGGTCAGGTTACCCGCATTTTCGAATTGGATAAACTCGAGATGATTGGGTTTCGGGTTGGGTACAGGTTGAGTTATGCTACCCGAACCTCGAATCGGGTCGGGTGCGGGTATAATAGAAAAAGCCGTTACTCGACCTAATTAGTAATTACTCTACATATTCACCCGCTTATATATATGTGTGTGTGTGCGCGTACAGACTAGTCATGCGTTATTAATATTAAAAATTAGATTATTTATTATAATTTTAATTAATGGTTAAATTTTATTTTATTTTTTATGATTTTTTTATCATTTTTTTTTTGTTAATTGTACAATATAAAATTTAAATACTTAATTTTTAAATGTTATATTATTAACTAGACTATAAAAAATAGATAATTATATCTCATTATTTATTCTAAAAATTATATAATTTTTTTCATAGTTTTTATTGTCAAACATAGTTAAAAAATTGTTCGTTAAATTATAATTGATTGTGAAATTATTTTATATATATATTTTTTACATGAAGCGTGGTAACACCCAAATTTAAGAATTCGGGTTACCCGCTTACCCGACGAAAATTCCGTTAGCTCTCCGGGTAAAACTCAACCTGAACTCGAAGATTACTAACCGGATAACAGGTCGGGTTTGGGTAAAGTATTTTATATGCAGGTTGGGTTCAAATTTGCCAAAACTCGCACCGACCCAACCCATTTACATCCGTACATATTTAGACACAATTTATTTAGACGGTTAGTCCTCAATTGGGACATTTGCTAGTGTAGTAAATGCTCATTTTAGGTTATGTTTGGTAGTAGCTTATAATTTATTTGGTTAGTTTACAAGCTCCTATATTCAAATAAACTTCGTTTGGTAGGACGAATTTTTTTTAAAAATGTCGAGCTTGATCTCATAAGTTTATTTGGGTAACTTTTCAACTAAGCGCGTTACTCAAACAAAACTTATGATATAATCTCGAGCTTTTTAAAAAATTTCGACCTACCAAACGAAGTTTATTTAAATACGGGAAGCTTATAAGGTAAATAAATAAGCCATAAACTAGCTTATTTGATTAAACTTAGTTAATAAACTAACTGATAGCTGATAAGCTAACTTATAACTTATTAGTAATTAATTTACGAGCTTATAACTTATAACTAAAAAAGTAGCTTATATGATAAAAATGGTTTAATAAATTTAGCTGATAAGTCAGCTGAAATAAAAATTTCAACGAACTTATTTGAAAAGCTACTCAAATAAGATTATGAGATAAGATAAAACTCGAAAAAGATAAAAAAATAAGTTTATGAAACACACACAAAAAATTAATAAAAAAAACAAGAAAAAAAAAACTTAAATAGTCAAATAAGACACGTCATAGCTTTAGGAAAAAGATTGACACGTACACAAACTTGATTCTGAGTCGCGTCAAGTTTTGGCCTTTCATTGCTCGCCTTACATAAGAGCATCTCCAATGCTCAACTTTCAACATTCATTAAATTTGAACACATGTCAATCAATTGAATAATGTTTAATCTACATGAATTGAATGTTAAAAGAATAAGACTTTCATTTGAATTGTTACCTCCAATGCATCCATTCAACAACCATACAATTTTTATATGTGGATTTATTCATTTATTAAAAAAGTAAAAGTGTATATTAGAAAAAAAAATCACAAATCTCAATAATTATATGCATGATGTTTTTTGTTTTTGTTAATTCAGTTATTTTTATTTATATCGCCGAATTTATACAATTATTATTTATTAGTAATTTCAATATGTATAACCACACAATTAATATTTTTTTAATCCTTTTAGAAGAAAATCACAAATTATAAAAATTGCAAAAAACTCAACAAACAAATATAATGAATAAAATATTATATTTTTCATTTTTTTTAAAAAAATTTTAGTTGTAACTCATTATTAGATGATTCTATTATATACATATAAATTATCAAAATATTTATTGAATTAATGGATGGAATTTTTCCAAGTTTATAAAAAGCTCCAAATTTACCATAATTTGTGCAAATAATTACTCAAATGCTTAGTCATCATGTTAGAAAGAATGTGAGAAATTAGAAAGTGAGCTTGACAATGTTAACATTAATTTTTTACACATAAGCATGAAAGAGCCATTAATTTAATGCATTGGAGGATAAATTATGCACACACTTTTTATCAAAATGAGGTGGATAACTTTTTATTCTTTCAAAAGAATGCATTGGAGATGCTCTAATGGAGATCGATTCCAATAACTAAAATAATTAATTGGGATTTATCACCACTAATCCTCCACTAATTACTCATTTTTTGAGGCAAAGCCAAAAAGAGTTTCCCACGTGTCATCATCATAATAATTTTTAAGTTAATTTTGTCGTGCATGTATCTGTAAACCCTCGTGAGGCAAAGAAGCTTCTTCATCCTCGACCGTTATTGTGGTAATTTAAAATTTGAGGGTAAAATAATTTTTCCCATCCGAATTATCATGGTTTTGGCGCATCATCATATAAACTATTTTTTTACAAACTACCATATGAACTATACGGGTTTGTCAATATGCCCCCTAAATCGGATATAAAAGTGGTTTTGACTGAAAAAGTTGTTTGATCACCATATGCACCTCTAAATATTTTGACAAACCACCATATAAACTATCACATGTTTGTCAATGAGCAATGTGGGATCTTTACTATGTAACGCATGAGATCAAATTAACTAATTAATTATTATATGTAATCTCAACTTTTTTGTGGACAAGCAACCGACATTCGATGCTAAAATTTAATTCTTTTGGTGATAATAGGGATTAATTCATAGCTAATTCTCAAATTTATTGAGAATAAAAGCATCTCTCTCTCTCTCTCTCGAGTTAATTGGAAACTTTTATTTGGCAGTAATTAGAAACTTTTATTTTTGTTATTTTTCCGAGTTAATTGAAGTGTGTGCTCTTCACGGTGACACTACTTAGATTAATTGTCTGTTAAGAGCATTTATTTGACTCTTAAAAAAGTTTTGGGCATTGAAATATATATCTATGAGGGAGAGTTTTGCCGCCCTTGTGGTCCTACTCCTCGATTTCTGATTAGTCGGTACCTCTGTAGATCCAAAAATCGGAAGGTCCCTGTACCAAAAAAAATATATCTCTATGTGCAAATGGATATTATCAAATACATGATCAGATGTTTTTAGTGTATACCTAACTTTTTTTTTTTATATATTTAATTACACTGAAACGATTTTGAGTTTATTTATTTATTTATTTATTTATTTATTTAGGGTTTATTATTTTGCGGTAATTCATCTCCAACCGAAAAACCTATTCTCTAACCCAAATAAAATTCTTTTTTACATCAACTTTTACAACTTTTCAATACTACTCACATATTTTATAACTTTACAGATTAAACCACACTATTATTTTCATTCAATTTAGACTTTATGTAATAAACTAATTATAAAGTTTTAATCATATACATAATAAAATAGGAGAAATAAATATTCACTAAAAAATAAAATTTAAAAACTACAACACACAATATAATATTTACAACACACAAGATGATAAATTAAAATTTACAACAATCAAGTAAAAATAAATAGTCTTTCCCATAGATGATCAATTAGTGCATTTCGAAATGCAATGTGATCATCTTTATTTCTATTTTTTTTGTATCGAGATATGAATTCTTGAAATCAATTATTTTCATCTTTATTTCTAATTATTTCAATCTGTATTAGTAATGTTGTTGTTATTTAATGCTAGTGTTTTTTTCTTGTTAAATAAAAATACCATAAAAAATGTATATTTTACATTATTAATGTGAAATATATATAAAAGTAAATGGTAGATATAAAAATATTTATTATTTAAATATTATACTAGCTAATATTTATAAAATTATTTTTTATTATTTTACATTATTTTTATTATTTTGAATATATATATAAGTAATATTCATTAATTTAATTATCATATAGTCTAAAAAGGAAGGGACTAAAATAAAATAAAAAAAAGAACGAAAGATGAAAAAGATGAAAAAAAAGACTAAAATGAAAAAAAAAAAAAAGATGAGACACAAAAATTTGCGTCGGACGCAAATTTGCGTCCAAAAGGAGAGAGAGAAGAGAAAAATCGCATTTTGCGATCGGAATTGTAACTCGGTTGGAGGATTTTCTACTGTAAAATTTGGATTTTCCATTGCTTGGGTCACCAGGAAAAGACAAAAGAAACAAAAAAAAAAAAAAAAAAAAAAAAAAAAAAAAAAAAAGAAAAATCAACAAAAATGCATGACCCAGGTCACAATGTGACCTTGGGTCACAACCGGTTGGGACGAGAATTTTGGGGCACTTGTTCTTTTATTGGACAAGTGTATTTTTTAAATAAGATAAAAATTAATTTTTATTTTTAGGAGTTAATTTATATTAAAAAAATATATATGAAAAATCATATTTTTTCATTCTCTATAAATAAAGACCACATATGATATGTTTTGGAACACAATTATAATTTAGTAATGATAATTGATGTGTGATTTTATTCAAATTATGTGTAACTTGTTTAACTAATTTTAATTTTTGTTCCAATTTTTACAATTTTAAATTTTAATTGAGTTCGTAATTTTATTTTAAATTTTATGGTAAAATATATTTTTTTAAAATAATTATGACTTTAGTTATAATTTTTTTAATTAATTTGTCACGCTTAAAATAATAGCACAAATAAAATATAGATAATTATAAATAAATAAATAAAAATAAAATAATATTTTAGGTTGGATTGGGTTGGAAATAAAGATAAGTTGAGTTATAAAGTTGAGTTGTCTAAGTAGAGGAGTGAAAAATAATTTGTAATTGTTTAAGTTGGGTTGAGTTGTTGATAAGGATAGTTTATAAAGATCCTCTAGAGCATATCACACAGTAAGCACCACATCAGAAAGGCTGATTTATTAGCATTTTTTTTTTTTTTTTTTATGGGAATATATATTGTACCATATCATATTATCATGTACTTTGAATTGATTTGACAGCTTAAGAAATCATAAACATGAGTTAAAATCATGAATAAACATTGATTACACACTACAAATTACACATTTGAACACTAAAATATGCAGTTTAGAGAATCTTAATAAAATATCTCCACATCAATTCTTTTCACTCACTTCCCCCCCATGCTAAAA